GCCCCGGCCCCGGCCCCGGCCCCGGGGGGCTGTGCTGGGCTGGGGGCGGCGGCGGCGAGCCTGCGGGGTCCCGCTGAAACGTGCCGGGAGGGAACCTGGAGGGCGCCGGGTGCTGAAGGAAGGCAGCGAGGCCGAGACTGGCCGAGCTGTCGGGGAGGATGAACACCTTCACCTGGCTGCCCTGCAGGTGGCACCAGCGAGGGAAAAACAAGGCACAGCCCTACCCGTCTCTGTAGAGGTGGCACTGTGGGGGGCCGAGGTGGCTTCATCTTGCTTTCAAACCCCAGGGGGCCCTGTCGTATATATACATATGTGTGTATATATACATATATCAATCCCAGCCTTGGCTAGGATGATCTAGTTGGGGATGGTCCTGCTTTAGGCAGGGGCTTGGACTTGCTGACCTCCTGAGGTCCCTTCCACCCTAATTTTTTATGATTCTGCTATGATCTAGTTTAATTTGATTTACCGTATTTGATGTTATGGGAGCTGTGTTCGTAATTGAGTGTTCTTCTCTACTGAGTATGTGTAACTCAGATTCAGATTAATTTCCATTAAAGTTGACTAAGCAGGCCTCAAGCTTACAGGTCCATCCCTGCCGTCTCCTCCCCCCATGGGCAGGCCAAATTCTGTGTCTTGTGTTCATGAAACAGGAGGGGGAGGAACTGCACGCCACCCACACGGTGGGCAGTGGAGTGGGGAAGGTACTGCTAGCATAGCCTGCATGGAGGGTAGGGGGGCAGTGTTTCTGGGTGCCTACCCCACAGCATATGGCTGGCACAGGGCTTATCCCATGGTCAGGGGGAAGTTGGACAGCCATGATCTGGAGAAAAGGCCAAAGGGGAACATAACAAGTAGGGATGTACTTAATTTGCAGTTTTGCTGAAACTATGAAATACACAATTGTCCACTAAATCAGCTTTAAAAAAAGCTGCCTGCCCAGGAGGGAAAGGTGCTGGCTAGCGGGGCAGCACAAAGGGCAGCTGCCCCCTCATCCCTCCTGCCCCCTTCCCACCACCTGCAATCAGTAGTGAGAGGCAGGGCCACTGGGAAACGCCCATTAAATTGGCTTGTCATGCTGCAACCAAGCCACAAAAATTCCTTTGTCTGGCTGCAAATTAAGCAGGTCCCTAATGATAGGTAAAAGATTGTTATGAAAAGGTTGATGATCGACTACCTTCTGTATATCCCCTGGGAGTTGAACTTAAGTCAGCTTAATTTGCAGCAGATAAGAATTGGTTAGATATTAGGAAAAAACTTTTGAGTTATAAGTTATAAGAAAGCACTGGAACTGGAGGCTTCAGTATCCCAAACATTGGAATTTTTTAAGAACAGGTTAGACCAGCAGTTCTCACCCAGGATGCCCCAAGCTCCTTTCAGAAGTGCTGTGGAGCAGGCACTGCCAAAGCAGCAGCCATGTGGAACTGTCCCACGCACCTCTGTTTCTGGGAGGAGTGTGGAGGGACCAGACCAGGATGGGTTGTGGCAAGAGCAGGGACTCCTGCCTGTTTGAGGTGTATCTGACTGTGCACAAGGCATGCAGGGCATTTTTACCTGGCTGTGCTGGCAGCATCTCTCCAGTTGAGAACCAGTGAGACAAACTGAAGCAGCACCATAGCAATTCTCAACCAGAGTGCCACCAAATTAAAAAAAGGTTATGGAGGGATGCCCTAATTCTAAAAGGGTTGAGAAGCACTGGGTTAGAAGTACGTTAATCACGGATGCTCCGACTCAGAAGTGCCCAATTGCTCTAGATTGTGGCTGTTGAGCCATACCAACAACACAGGGTGACACTTAATCTTGCCTCAGACAAAGGGATGGACTAGCTGACCTCTTGAGGTCTGATCCAGCTCCACATTTCTATGATTCTGTTTCTCATGGTTCCTTTACAGATCCAAGGTTTACTTAGGTTCAGAATTAATCCCAAACTTTTATTTTCAGTATTTGATATACTTTTTTTTTCTCTTTTTCCTTTTTGTTCCTTCTGTGAATTGTCTGACATTCTTATTTCATTAGTTTGGAATTAACATAAAAACCTGTAACAAATACTAGCTTCATATATGGATCCATTAAAGTCAGAGTTAGTTAACATGATTACAACTTGTATGATTTTTTTACTAGAGTTGCACCAATATATATATTGGTTGCATATCGGATCAGCACCAATAACAGGAAAATTAACATTATTTTGGGTTTTTCTGGCTGATAATCTCACCGCACACACAGCCAGGAATGCAGCCCAACAACTTGGAAAGCAGTGTCCTGCCAATAAGTCTGTCAGGGGGAAGGGGCAGATCGAGACCCCCATGGTAAGGGAGGGAGTGGGGTGGAGACGGGCTGGGGCAAGGGCAGGCACTGCCCAGCCAGGGCGGTGAATGCGACGGTGGGGCAGGCTAGAGGTTGGAGCTGCTGGCAGCTCGTCCAGGGGCGCAGCTCCATGCCACTGTGTGCAACCCCAGGGGAGGTATGGGGGCCATATACCCCTTGGATCTGTGCGCAGGGCAGAGGCGGGCTGCCCTCTGTGGGCTCAAGGCCAGAGGCTGTGCCAGCCTCTTAGCAGGGCAGGGCTGTGCTCAGGGCAGGCGGAGGCCAGGCAGGATCAGCCATGCAAGGTGGGCGGCAGTGGCGGCGGCATTAGGGCTGGGCGTGGGGGGCTATGGCCACTCCAATATTCCCCATAGCCATCCCTCCCAGTGCTGCCACTGCCTGCCCCCTGTAGCAGAGCCTGCCCAAGCCTGAGCATAGCTCTAGCCCAGCCTCCCCATTGGGAAGAGGCTGGCACCGCCTCTAGCCCTGAGACCACAGCAGGCAGCCCACATCTGCCCCACGCACAAATCTGGGAGGGGCACATGCCCCCTATGCCTTTCTTGGGGGGAGCGCACAGCAGCAGAGAACTACCCGCTCGCCCTGCATCCTCTGGATGAGCCATCCATAGCTCTGCCCTGCACCCTGACACGGGGTCGCATTCACCACCCTGGCTGGGCAGCACCTGCCCCATCCCCTTCCTTCACCCCATGTCCTACCTCACCACAGGGACCTCGATCCGCCCCCCACCACACCCTGTCCCTCCCCTGCCCCTTCTCCCCCACAGACTTACTGGCAGGATGCTGCTCTCCCAGCTGCCAGCCAATTTACAGGAATGCAGCCTATCAGGTTGGTATCAGCCAATATGTATAGTTAATAATTGATCATCAATATTGGCCAAGAAAATATTTATCAGTGCACCCTTATTCATTACTGTAGACATTGTCAATGTTACTGTGCCTTGGTGTCCAAATTAAGTAAAATTAAATTGACCCGTACAATCATTCATTATCTTTTGTTTTCTTCTGTATCATGATCGTAAAATGTACAATATGCCAAGTCAGTCATCCTAATTTGGGGATGGGAGAAATGGCTGATCCAGCGGGCCAGCAGCTGGACTCCATTTCCCAGCAACCTGTGCCCACATGGCTGGGTCTGGTCTCCATGGAGACCCCAGCCACAGCTGCCTGTAAAAGCTCAAGGCTGGGGTTGCCATGGAGACCAGCCCCAGCTGCACTGGTAGGTTGCGGGGTGGAGCAGGGCAGGGGGCTGTTTTGGTGTCAGTGGGATCTTGCGGTGGGGGCATCTTGTTTTGGAGCCCTAATCTGCAGCCTGCATGCTCCGGGAAGGGGCATGTAGGCAGGGGATCGTGGGTGTGCTGTTGCTGCACGCCAGGCTGTTAGTGCAGCAAGGAGCTGGGACGGAGCCACAATCTGCTGCCTGCACATCCCTGCCCGGAGCATGCAGGCTGCACATCACAGCTCTGCTGGCTCCTTGCAGTGGTGATACCCTGGTCTGGAGCTGGGGCAGAGTAAGCTGCCCCTGCCGCAATATCCCAGTGGCTCCAGAGCAGCCCCCTGCCCTGCTCTGCTTTGTGCCCTGCCAGGCTGGGGCGGGTCTCCATAGCAACTACAGCCTTGTGCTTTCATGTGCAGCTGCAGCTGGCCCAGCCATGCACAGAGGCAGTTGAGAAATGGAGTCCGCTGCCAACTGGATCCAGCCTGCGGGTCGGACTTTACTCCCCCCTTTCTAATTAGAAACTAAGTAAGAATTTTTATTTTACTTCCTTTATATATTGCCTAAGGCAACAATAATGTTGTTTTCTACTTCTTCAAAAATTGTAAAGTGATTTAATTGGTGGCACATGAGTA